TTATTATTATTATTATTATTATTATTATTATTATTATTATTATTATTTTATTCCATCTGTTATGATTGTATACAGTATAAAACACTCACTGTGGCAAACAAACCTAATATTCCTGCCTCCTATTTTCCACACAACAAATATTCTGTGAGGTCGGTTAAATTGAGAGGGAATGACTGTCCCAAAGTCATCCAGCTGGCTTTCATGTCTAAGGCAGGATTAGAACTCACAGTCTCCTGGTTTCTAATCCAACACCTTAACCACCACACTAAACTGGCTCTCTACTTTCCATCCTCAATATTGTTTCAGGAAGTGATTGAATGATCGCATAAACCATTACTTGGCCACACAACATTATACAGTCAACATGATTACTACACACTTCAGTGTGTATGGTCAGATGATCACTTGGTCATTTCTCAAGAATAAAAGAGTGTAAAAAAGATTTCAAGTGTACACATAGTTTTTAAAAGATAAGCAATCATTGAATAGTTAAGTTAAAATCTCTTTGAAAGCTTTCTTTCAAATTTGGACAATGAAGGTAGGTCTCCTTCAATGTTGATTTGATGAACAGGGTTACAATCCAATTGGAATTAAGCTTTGGTATGTGATTAATTATTTCCAGTGGAAAGAACTGAGTGTATACATGGAGTGAAGTAATGATAATGTTAGGAACTTTCATTTGGTAAAGTGCCCGAGTTCATCCAAAAAAAAAGCTGAAATAATTACAAAATCATATGTAAATTCCAAAAGTCTGCTAAGAGAAGAGGAGAGAAGGAAGAGAAATAACAGAGCATGACTAAAATCTGCTATACTGTTCTTCCTTTAGCAATTAGAGAAAATGAAGGCACACTAGAAAAGTGCAAAACTGGTGAGAGAAAGAACAGAGAATGATCACTCTAAGTCCAATATGTTCTTTGACCCTCATCATTGTAATTTACAAGCTACTGTGTTTATGAATTATAAATTCAGACACATCATTATTTAGACAATTGTGGGTAATAATCAATTGATTAATGCAATCTTTCAATACAAATTCTATATGACTGCCTGTAATACTATGCATTTCAAATCACATAGAGTTTAAATATACAGATCAGTTGTAGCCTTAAAAAATGAAAATGCTCCTGATAGTAATTTTAAGGTGAGGAAAAAAAGGAGATATAATTTTTACACTGTACTGGAAAAGTGTTTTTGAATTAGTAGGGCATTATGCAAAGATTCAGAGCTCCCAAAAATGTGTATTTTTTTCCAATATGCATATTTTTTTCCAACCAAATTGCTTTCATTCATATTTTTCCCTTAATGTATGCAAATGTCTATGCCTTTTATATTAAGAGAACTGCATTGCAATGTTCAGGAAAGTGTGACTATCAAAGGGCAATTGCACTCCACTCGGCAGATAGTTTTGTGAAGTGAAAAATTGATTCAAATTCCTTTCACATCCCTGCATCCTAGTAATTGTTGTGTTTGTAATTGATCTAAAACCCATATGACATAAAAGGACAGTGACATGATTTTTCTTCTTTTGAACCCGTACTATTACAGAAGGCTAAAGTACATCCTCAGTCCATATACTAGATACAGGGATAGATTTCAAATGACCATCCTATGTGTTACATTGATTATTAGACACTGTAGTTCTTACATTCACTGAAGCACTGAAGTACTGAGATCTGCTTAGCTGCAACAGAATTGTCACAATCACGTGTACTAAGGACTTGCATGTGGCTTTCAAAAGCTCCATGCCAAGTTATTCTATGGGGAATATTCTTATTTCTGTTACTCTTTCATGCTCTTACATTTTGTTGTTAGAAATCAAAGAACTGAACATTTCCCTGTTGCTATGGTAACCTCAATTCTTGAAAAGTCCAAGTGAACAAAACATAGTTAATCTACCAGTAAAAGAGAATCATGCATCCAACCTATTCTGTGAAATTAGCTGTATTTTCATAAGCTACAATCAATAAATATTAGCACACAAACCAAGAGAGAAAATGATTGTTTGTATCCAGAATTTGGATTACTATTCATATAAAAGTGAAAAGTGTGAATTTCTTAACATTTTCTTCATACCTTTTGTTGTCAGAATCCAAACAGATGGATAAACAGAAAATTGAAAACAATTGCTCCAATGAGAAAGGTATTTGGGATACCCAGCATGCAATTTTGAACTGTATAAAATACATAAAGAGTCATGGCGGCACAGTGATTAGAATGGTTAAACGGTCTATGATGCCAACAAGCTGGCTTTTGTAGACTCATTTCAATTTAAATATCATAGTTACAGTTAGCTGGTAGCTGCCAATCATACAGTTAATCATCAGCCTTTTAATAAAACCCAAAAGGGCAGACATTAAATATCATCTTCAGTATGGCTGTTCCAGGAACACTTATATTGTGGAGTCTTCTCTAGAGAACAAAACAATGTTTTTATCGCTGAAGCTGCCTGTAATATGAATGCTAAAAAGAATTAAAAGCTGAAGTCCAACTGTTGTGTTCAGCAGCCTTGCTAATTCTATGCAACAAAGGGGAAAATGCAACAAAGCAACTTTATAATTTATACAGACTTCAGCAATATAATCCGGTTTATGGTTATGAGATCAGTTTAAGGGAAAATAGGGAAACAAGTTATTCAGAACTACTTTAGTAAAAACACTTAGGGATGCTTTTCAGAATTTAACCTTTATAGGAAAGAAAAAGAAAAAAAAGGCCAAACTGTCCATGCTTGTATTTTTGCTTAATTTTTTTTAAAAAAAAACCTCCTATTTTCTTAATGTTTGAGGTCATTCATTTTGCCCGCTGTTGGCTTTTTGTAAGAGTGCTATATGGCATCTCGACAGAGAAAACAAACTGATGGCATTTTCATTCTCTGCTTATCAGCTTTCCTGAAGTGGCTGTTAAGAAAAACAGAATCCTCCTACAAGATGGAAACTTTGCTTTGTGGGGATGCTTGTGGTTTTCATCCTGCTTTTTGTAGCAAAAAACATTCAGTCTTGAAGCAAAGTAAATACAGCTTAGCTGCACAGAGTTGGACTTGGGAGTCAAGGATGGTATTCAGGAGGTTCTGACCAGTTCTGGATAACCGGTAGTGGAAACTTTGAGTAGTTTTGAGAACTGGCAAATACCGCCTCTGACTGGAGATTTTACAGTATCCTTCCCCAAGCCATGCCCACAGAACCAGTAGTAAAAACATCCCACCACTATTGGAAGTGATGTCATTGTCAACTCGTAAAGCATTTCTATGCTTGTTTTCAAGTTGCCATAAGCAGGAGGGTGGAAAACCCTGAAGGAGCAGTACAGCAATAAAAACCAGAAGTACATTCCATGCTTATCTTACAAAGATTGTAGCCTAGGTTATTTGTTGAGGTATTCCCTGTTAGGAGAATGAGTGAACTCAAGGAAACGTAGTGAGACTGATGTTGAATAACACACAACCAGCATACAGATACACTGAATAGTAAAATGTAGGTTTTACTTCCAGTAAATGGGTAAACAAAGTCCAACAAACAGTCCAAATCATACACGGTTAAAGCAGTTAGTATCAGTCCAGGGATAATCCAAAAACGAAGTCAAGTATCATAAACAGAGTTCAGTAAATGGAGTTTGCTAACAGTTGCAAGACTCACAACAATCCAAGTAGAACGATGATCAGGCAATATGGCAAAACAGAAAATGCAAGGAGAAAGAAACCAGGTTTCTGGCTCCATCTTATGGCCGTTGGAGGAATCTCAGCCAATTACAATTACAGCATTCTCTTAAAGATACAGTATTAAATTACTATCCTGGTTTATATATTGCCAACCCAACTGTTAGGTGACTATCATTCCTAACACTATTGGATCTTCTGCCTGTGAAAATCCTTCACTGAAGAATGTGATTGATGATACCCAGCCCGTGAAGGGGCTTCATTGGAGAATTTGATTTTAGAGACACCCAGGGGAGAGAGGGAAACAGGGTCACAGGTGACCATAAATTATGTATGTTAGAGTTGGCTTCATATAGGTCAATACCGACATATTGCTCCTAATAAATCTTTTGGATTCTTTTGAATCTTGGCTCAAGGCTCGTGATTTAATTAGGGCAATTGCTGGAAACCTGACAGCCATCTCTTCATGGTAGATCAGGTCAAGCATTAATGCTCTTTCTTCTTTCAGATTACTTTTTTGTGTGTCTTCTGTTTAATCTTGAAGGAAGGAATACAAAGATTAAAATGACTTAAGTGGAAGACAAAGGGAAAGGGAGAAGAGATTGTTGAGATCCCCTTGCAGGAACAGAGAGAAGCCATCTTCTTCCTTGGGCTTCTGTGTTCATTCCCATTCCTTCTATACTATGCAGGCCACAATGACAACAGCTTTGAGGAGACTGGGCCAGCAGAAATCAGAGCAGAGATCCCTCCACTTGCTCTGCAGGACATTACAGCTCAGTGGCCTGAGAGGAGCTGAGTGGTAGCAACAGGCAACCGACCCATCCCCACATAGCCCCTTGGGTGTTATTAGCAGAAGGAAGCTGAAATGCAATAGAACATGGAGATGGTGAAGTAAGCTGCAACCCTTCTGGCTGCAAATGTGTGCACAACTTAATTTAGCCAAACAAATCACATTCTTAACAAAAATAAATAAGCAGAAAGGGGAGGGGAAGGTGAGCCAGGATTCCCTTTATAGCAATAGCACTTAGACTTAAAAAGCGGTTTAAAGTGCTTTACAGCCCGCTCTAAGCGGTTTACAGATTCAGCCTATTGCCTCCAACAATCTGGGCCCTCATTTTACCCACCTTGGATGGATGGAAGGCAGAGTCAACCTTGAGCCTGGTGGGATTTGAACTGCCAAATTGCAGGCAGCTGGCTGCAGAAGTAGCTTGCAATATTGCACTCTAACCACTGTGCCACAGAGGCTCAGTGGTTATGTTTTACTTGCAAAGTTTTTTTTTAAAATGGAAACATTAGGAATGATGGATAGGAAAAACTCTCATGCCCAATCTTGCCACTGAATATCACCAGGAAATAGCGATCAAATGCTGAGATGGTAAAGTGAGCTGTAACACCTAATGGACTACAAGTGTGTGCATTCTGATTAAATTGCAAGTGCTTCTTAACTCTAATTTGATGAAAATGAATGCCTTTTGGAGGCACTGTCTCATCCCCACACTAAGTCTGGACCCTGGAGTACCTATGCCTAGAATTGAAGATACCAAGATGGAGATCCCTATCAAAAACTTTTATTCTTCAGAAAGTGACACAGTCTCCCTCCAAGCTCGTCTCCCCATCCATGTCCCATGGTAAGTTTTATACAAGAGTTACTATCAGTTACACATCACAAAGTCACACAAGATATTCCCTTTATGATAATTCTTGCCCCTTTATAGTTCTTTTTACCATTTAAGCAGAAATGCAGTCATTGTGCTCCTAAGCTAACCATAAAACTTTCAGAATGAACACACCAGCAGTACTGTAGCATGGCTTTCTGTAACATGCTTCCATTTCCTTCTAACCGTCTACATGTTCTCATCTTTCCTCTTCGTGCCCTTTGCTTTGTCCCATGATGTAGTTGAGGCTACCAGTTTAGCAAGCTGAAGCACTCAAGCTTTTATCGGAAGCTTTAGCCTTTTAATTAAATCCCCTTTCATCCCTTCATTCGGGTTCTGACCTTCCAATTGTCTGAAGCTATACTGAAGCATATGGTGTTGTTCCCTGGAGTGCTTGAGCAGTAACATTTCCCAGCCTTCCCCCTGGAAATCTCAGACTGCTTTCACTAGAGGCAGCCAAGATCCAAAATAAGGAGTAGAGAATAGCAAGTCTGTAATTGTTACCTTTTTTCAAATTTTTGTAGTTATGCATAGTCCTCAACCCCTCCCCCCCCCACACATTCCAGTTCCCTTCTGAATCCCTACACCCCTTTCCTAGATCTGCATGTTCAACATCCTGTTGCTTTGTTAGAGATTTGACATTTTATTGTAGACGATCTGTAGGTCTGATTACTCCACAGTAAAGGCACAGGTGCAGATACCTTCTACTTTGCTGACCCAAAGGAGCTTTTTCAAGGAGACAACTTTTTTTTTTTGAAGATGTTTCATTTCTTATCCAAGAAGCTTCTTCAGCTCTGACAGGACAGTGGGGAATGGAAGAATTTATATTCCTTGCAGACAGCTGGTCATTTGCATCCTTTTAGTGGGACATTGAAGCACTTGGAGGTTTATCTGTGTCCTCAGGGTCACCTCAGGGTCGGTAGTGCTACTGGTTCCTGTAGTCTGTAATTTTTTCCTCTGGAAATCCATTCCTACTCCTACACCATTCAAAGGTTGTTCATCCCAAATTGTATAGCTAAAAGTCTGTAGAGATTCTCTGTTATCCTGGTCATGGTTGTCTCAAAGGTGCTTTTTCAGGAGGCAACTTGACTTCTACTTTGTTTCTCTTCTGTTGACAGGGATCTCTTTGTTGCACTAATTTGCTTGGGCTATCCTATACTGGATTCTGTGAAAGCCACTGGGAGGGAAACTATGTGGGAAGAGAGGCTATAAAACATTTCCAGTTGCCATTTCTTCCCCATCTCAAACCTTCCATGCTGTCATCTATTGTCAAACGATGTTGGAACAGTTCTTCCAAATTATTTGGAGTTTCTTCTTGACTCACCAGTTCATCTTTCACTTTTTCAGAAAGCCTCTTTTGAATTGGTCAATCAGGATCATGTTGTTACACCCCACATCTTTAATAAGCAATTTAAAATCCAATACATATAACCTCACTCTTCTGTCCCCTTGCCTGAATTTGCAGAACCCCCTCCATCAGGTGGGATTATCAAAATAACTTTTGAACTCTCACAGGAAGTCCTAGTAATTGTTCAGCACTAGGTCATAGTCCTGATTAATAGGCAAGTTGATTTAACTGGTCATCTTGTCAGTAAGGCAGTGTATCTGAAAATCAGAGGCCATCTTCAATTATTTATGTGCATAAAGACTGGTGCACAAATAGCAAAATAACAATCAGCCATTGCTCACCAGATTTAGAGGCCATGACTGTTCAGCGTAGACCGTTTTATCTGCCACGGGAGCTAACAGTAGTTGCCATCACTGCTGTATATTTACCTCCAGATGCTAATATTAGCATGGCGCTCAGTCACCTTCAAGACATAATTACCATGCAACAGAGAGTTCATCCTGAGGGCGTTCACATCATTGCTGGGGATTTCAACAGAGCATGCCTAAAAACTGTGCTCCCCAAACTTTACCAACATGTTAAGTGCCCAACCAGGGGGAAAAACACACTTGATCATGTGTACTCAAATATTAAGCATGCTTATAGAGCAAAACCTCTTCCCCACTTAGGACAATCAGACCATTTCACCCTGCTTTTACTACCAGCCTACACTCACCTTAGGAAGAGAACAAAACCTAGCAGTGAAACTATTAGATGCTTGCCTGAAAATGCCCTCTCCCAGCTTCAGGATTGTTTTGCCTGCACAGATTGGAGCATCTTCAAACAACAGGACTTCGAGTTATACACAGAGACTGTGCTTTTCTACATGAACACCTGTGTAGAAAATGTCACTGTGGACAAACGCATACGGACCTTCCCAAACAGGAAACCCTGGATGACCAGCGAAGTCCAGGCTCTGATCGGGGCCCGTGACCTGGCTTTTAGAGCAGGTGACATCTCACAGTACAACACTGCCAAAACTGAGCTGAGAAGGGGCATCAAACATGCTAAGGAGGAAGGTCGAGGGCCACTTTACTGACAGTGACCCACAGCAGATGTGGAGGGGGATACAGGCCCTGACCAACTATAAAGGCCAGGGCCCAACAAACAGCGAGAGCAGTAGCACTCTGGCAGAGGAGCTAAACAGCTTTTTTGCATGCTTTGAGACTACCAAGAACCTGGACATACTGCCTCACGAGGACCATGACACTGCACCTCTCTCTCTTCAGGTGCATGAGGTGAGAAAAACACTGAGAGCAGTAAATCCCAGGAAAGCTGCAGGGCCTGATGGCATTTCTGGTGCAGTAGTTAAAGCATGTGCTAACCAGCTGGCAGAAATACTTACAGAGCTGTTCAATATATCTTTAACTCATGCCATCATTCCACAATGCCTGAAGGCTGCAACCATCATCCCTGTTCCCAAAGAAACAAATATAAACACTCTCAGTGACTATAGGCCCATAGCATTAACAAGCTCCATCATGAAGGTTTTTGAGGACTAGTTTCACAGCACATCAGAGACTGCCTCCCGCCTTCCTTTGATCAACATCAGTTTGCTTATAGAGCAAACCGATCTACAGAGGATGCTGTGGCCATCACACTTCATAGAGCACTGAGTCATCTGGAGAACAAACACAGCTATGTGAGGATGCTCTTTGTGGACTACAGC